AGGGACATCAACCCAGCCCCCGGCTCAAAAAGGTTGCCTACCCCTGATGTGGATGGTCAAATCCCATTAAATACAGTGCCTAGTAAAATAGTACCCCTTGTATAAAATGAAAAAATCAAGCTTTGCTTCTTAGAATGTATATATTTTTGGAATATTTTCAAGCTGTGGATGCTTGAATCCAACAGCTTATGCATATTTTTCCCATCAACAAAGACGCATCATCATATATTTTTGTAGCACTTAACTGCTCCTGACTTCCACCATACATAGACATTTTGGGTTTTGCAAGTCTGAAAATGCTATAGCTTTGACATTTTTTACTCAAAGGGTTTTCATATTGGCCAGAATGAAAATCCATCGCCTATGTCCCTTTAAAATGAAAACTCAATTCAATTATCATACTTTATATGATATGTAGATATTTTATCATCCTTTGTTTTATTATGTTGTACTTGCATACACAATCACAAAGTTGATTTTGTAAAAAAGTTAAATTATGGTCATTGGCAAAATTCAGTTACTCATGCACACGCACACTTAACTATTCTGGAAGCTATTTTTTTTACTAAGGACTATTTTAACAGATAATTTGAGAGGCTATTTATCATAAGAGTATTACAAATTCACTCCAGATGATGATTATGATTACTGAGAAGGACAGCATCACTAATTTACTCTTTCACTTCATTTGCAGCAGCAGAAGTAAGGACAGAGGGCAAATGGGAGGAGAGAAAAGCAGCTGGAAAAATGGGCAGCAGGATTTAATAGGGGTCTTCTTGACATCAGGATAGTAGGGGAGTATGTTGGCGCCCGGTCACCTCTGTATGAAAATGGCTTCCCGCAGCTTTCCACTGCACAGTTGTTTGAAAGAGTGGCTGTCACAGCTGGGCTGCACACCTTTATCCTGTTGGCTGCATTTCTGCCCCTTTGACAAGTTCATAATGTATGTGTCAGGTTTGCCATAAATTGTGAACAATTTGAAGGGACAGAACAACAAAAGACAAACCCCCTTATCGCTACCCTCTTAAGTTATGCAGAGGTGTGTTACAGGCCTGGGCTGTATCCACATGCAGGAATAATCTGTTTTGACACCACTTTTAAGTGCCATGGTTCAATGCTATGGAATTCTGGGAATAGTAGTTGAGGCACCTTTGCTTTGCTCTGGTGTCTTTGCTTTAATAATAATAATAATAATAATAATAATAAATTTTATTTTTACCCCGCCTTTCCATGGATATTTGCTCTGGGCCCACAACAAATTCCAATTCACAGAATTCCATAGCCTTGAGCCAGAAAGAGTTAAAGCGGCGCCAAACTGAGTTATTTCTCCAATGCGGATGCAGCTATGTGTATGCAGGATTGCAATGCCAGTCTTTGTACAAAGTGGCTTACCACAGAAGATGCAAGCTGTGCAAATCTAGGTGGGAAAACTGGCCCCTGACAAAGATTTTGTGTGTGTGTGTGTGTGTGTGTGTGTGTGTGAGGAGGGGAATGAGGCATAAGTCATCTTCACCCTTGACATTCTCCTTCAGTCCCAACATTTCTACTATTGCAGCAACTTGAAACGATCTGAGGAATTAAGACACACATGACATCCAAAGAAAAGCCTAAATACCCTTTAAAGACACCAGATCCCGTCTGGTCTGGGAAACTAAGCAGGGTTGGATGGGAGACCCGCAACAAAGACCAAGTGCCCTGTTTCAGAGGAAGGGACTGGCAGCTTCACCAGTATTAAGTGTATTGTTTGCTTAAGAAAACTTATGAACAAGCGACTTGAAGACCCTACTTATTATCAGTCAGCGTAGTGTAGTGGTTTGAGGCCTGGACTTGGACTCTGGAGGGACAGGGTTCAAATCCCTGCGCAGCCATGGAAGCCCACTGGGTGACCTTGGGCATGTCATAGTCTCTCAGCCTTAGAGGAAGGCAAAGGCAACCCCCCTCTTCTGAACAAATCTTGTCAAGAAACCCCCTGGTAACATACTAGAAAACCAGAGGGACATGGCACTTTGCGATAAGTAAGTGGGTTTTTTGGGGTTGCAGTTTGGGTACTCGGGGCCTGAACAGACTGCCAGAAATAAATCCAGCTTGAGACCACTTTAACTGCTCTGGCTCAGTGCTAGGGAATCATGGGAATTGTAGTTTTTTCTGAGACATTGAGCCTTCTCTGTCAGAGTTCTGGTGCCACAATAAACTACAGTTCTCATGCACTGAGCCAGGGGAGTTAAAGTGATCTCAAACCGGATTATTTCTGGCAATCTGTTCAGGCCCTCAGCCTCTAAAAGGTTCGACATCACTGCCATAAAGTCTGAAACGAGCAAGTCGCACTGAGACTATCGCCCTACACTCTTAAAACGGGGCGAAGTCGTTTGAACTGCTCTGGCTGCCTCCTGTTGCATTCTGGAACTTGTAGTTTAGGAAGGGGAATTTAGAATATTCAGCCAGAGAGCCTTTAAGCCCAATGGAACTACAGACCCCAAAATGCAACAGGAGACAGCTCTTAAAGCGAGCTAGCCCCGTTTAAGAGTATGGTGCGATAAGCTCGGCAATCGCTCCCAGCTTCCGAGGAAAGCATAGGCCAACAACTTCTGAAGAAACCTGCCAAGGAAACTCCATGATAGGTTCACCTCAGGTTCGCCTTAAGTGGCCCACAACAAGCGTAGCCTGCTCTGTCAAGAGAGCTTAGTTCAGGAGTAGGCAACCTTTCCCCTTTAAGGGCCGAGGGACTTCAGCTCCCAGAATCCCAGGAGCTATTGGCCAACATGGGACTATTGGCCAACATGGCTGAGGCTTCTGGGAGCTGAAGTCCCTCGGCCCTTAAAGGGGAAAGGTTGCCTACCCCTGGCTTAGTTGTTCCCCCCAAACTACAACTCCCAAGATTCCACAGGAGAGCGCCATGGCGGTTCAAAATGGCGCCAAACGGGTTTAATTCCGTGTCGCGCCTGCGCCGACAGAGTGAACTTTCTTCACCCGGAAGCAGTCGGGAGGGGTGAAGACGAGGGGGCGGGACGGCCGAGTGGCCTCGGTGGGGATGGGCGCCGCGGCGGAGAGCGGGAATCAAGGCGTGGAGAGAGAAGCCGTGGCTGTGCCGGCGCCTCCTGAGGCGAGAGGGCCGATGGCGGAGGCTTCGCCCTGAGCAGCTAGGCCTTGCTGCTCCTGAGCGGCGCGAGGAGCCTGCCTTTCCCGGTGCAATATGTTTAAGAGAATGGCTGAGTTTGGTCCTGACTCCGGAGGGAGAGTGAAGGTACCACAGCAGCACAGCCGTCGCTTGGAATCCAAGTGCGCGCGAGAGGGGAGGGGGTTTCTCGCGCACGCGCACTCAGGGGACTGGAGGCGCGTGGGCGAGCGCTGGTCCTAACGGTCACTTTTGAGTGACAGGGAGATTCCGGAGAGGGAGGCGGGGCTCCCTTTCCTTTCCAAGTCCGACGTTCACTCGGTTTCGTGCCGTTTTCGTTGTGTGTCTTCAAGTTGCTTCCGACTCAAGGCGACCCTAAGGCGAACCTACCACGGGGTTTTCTTGGCAAGTTTCTTCAGAGGGGTCTGGTTTTTTTTTTTTTTTTGGTTTTTTTTGGCCATGGCCTCCCTCTGAGAGGCTGAGAGAGTGTGACTTGCCCAAGGTCACGCAGTGGGTTTTTCATGGCCGAGCTGGGATTCGAACCCTGGTCTCCCAGTCTCTTAGGCTGCTTCTACACTGCAGAAATAATCCAGATTGAGACCGCTTTAACTGCCCTGGCTTAATGCTAGGGATATGGGAAATGTAATTTTGTGAGACATGTATCCTCCTCTGTCAGAGACCTCTGGTGCCACAGTGAACTACAATTCCCAAGATTCCCTAGCACTGAGCCCGGGTAGCTAAAGCGGTCTCAAACCAGGTTACTTATGTAGTGTGTTTCGGACCCTAGTGACTTTGGACCAACAACTCACTTGGGTTGCCTCCGCAATGCAGAAATAATAACAGTTTGAAACCGCTTTAACTGCCTTGGCTCAATGCTAGGGAATTCTGGGAACTATAGTGTTTTGAGACATTTAGCCTTCTCTGAGAGCTCAGGTGCCACAACAAACTACAATTCCCAGTACTCCCTAGCTTTGAGCCAGAGCAGTTAAAGTGGTCTCAAACTGGATTATTTCTACAGTGTTTTGGACCCTAGTCTTAACACTCGGATCACTACACCATGCTGGCTCCCTTCGCATGTGGAATCCTGGGAGTTGTAGTTTGGTGAGGCGCCCAAGCTTGAGAGGCCAGGCTACACACCTGACCAAACTACAAATCCCAGGATTCTACAGGATAGAGTCATGGCAAAGTGGTGTCAAACTACTTTATTTCTGTAGTTTTATACATGTTTTCTGTATTTTTATTCTATACAGTGGTCCTTCCACATTTGCTGGAGTTAGAGGTGAAGGACTCCAGTGAATGTGGAAAAACTGCAAATAAACACTATTCTTTCTACTTAAGAGAACATCTCTCTAGGAATCTTCATGTCTTCCAGTGCAACTCTGTGGTCAATATCTGCCAAAAGTTGATCATAGAATCATGCTGCAGGACCTACAAATGCCTAGAGAAGTGTTCTCTCTAGGAACTTCCAGGTTCTCCAACACTATGGTCAGCATCTGGCAGAGTTGTGCTGGAAGACCTAGAGATTTGTAGAGAGAGCATATTAATCAAAACTGCAGATAATCAGATCTGCAAAAGCCAAAGCTGCAAATGTGGAGGGACAAATGTACATATATTTTTTATGTATGTATGGCTGCATACAAAGAGGCAATTTCATTTGGGTGACACAGGTTTTTAAGGCACCTATATAGGATTGCAAGAGCCAGCGTGGCGTAGTGGTTTGAGCATTGGACTGTGACTCTGGAGAGCAGAGTCCGAATCCCTGCTCAGTCATGGAAGCCCATTGGGTGGCTTTAGTCACATCACACTCTCTCAGCCTTCGAGGAAGGCAAAGGCAAACCTTCTCTGAAGAAGTCTTGACAAAATAAGCTCTGTGATACGTTTGCCTCAGAGTTTCCATAAACTACCTGAAAGGCACAGGACAATAAGAAAAGATTGTGCTGCTAAATCTTTTAGCAGCATAATCCTGAGGTATCCTTTTTTGGGATGGAGTGGAGCAGCCCAAGTCCCAGTCTCTGAGCAGCCCAAGTCCCAGTGCTTCGTTTTGCACATTAACTTTTTGTTCTCCCCTTTCTCCCCTCCTGGCATATTTAGTCCCTTATGGATCCTATTTTGGGAGAAAGGTGGAATATAAGTGAAATAAATAATTACAAATAATAAATATGTCAATCTCAGCATTGATTACAGCCATATTGGATCAGCAATAGCTGCATATATTTTTTTTTTATTTTTCTGAAGGGTGTAACTATTGTGAAACCTATAGTGTATGGGAATGTTGCACGCTATTTTGGGAAGAAACGAGAAGAAGATGGACACACACATCAATGGACAGTTTATGTTAAACCTTATAGAAATGAGGTAAGTAAAAAGAAGGAAAGTATACAATAATATTTTTACCATATCCTAAAAATATTTGGTATTCTACAGATTTATTTAAGGTAAGCATAAATGCAGTTTCCAAAAACAATAACTATACAGTAAACAAATGGTGGTTATATTGAAAAACTGATTGGGATGACCTAGGGAAAATGGTGACCTGAAGCAATTGACCTTTAGGAAATCCCCTTTGGTTGCTATCTTTAGGGGGAACACACTATTTCTTAGTAAATATATTCAGCATTGGGTGTTTCTTTCAGAAAGTTTCTTGGTGGGCAGGGGAATTAGAGGTCCCAGAAATGTTGCAAGAAGCCATAGTTTAAAAACAGCTAATACTGTCTAAACCAATCTGGTAGGCTGCAAAAGGAATAGACTAGAAGGGGACAATGAAGGAGTATAAAATGTATTTCTGAATGTGTAAGTAAGTGTTGGCTATATTTGTTCTAGGATATGTCTGCTTACGTAAAGAAAATCCAGTTTAAGTTACATGAAAGCTATGGTAATCCACTGAGAGGTATGGTTAAACCTGATTTATTTATTTATTTATTTATTTAGTAGATACAATTTTTCTTCACTTTTCAAAGCTGTGTGCCTTGCATTCATTCTTTCTTTCTTTCTTTCTATTATAGTTGTAACTAAACCACCATATGAAATCACTGAAACAGGCTGGGGTGAATTTGAAATCATCATCAAGATATTTTTTATCGACCCTAATGAAAGACCTGTAAGTATTCTTTCCACCACAAATAGTAAAGTTCTGCTTTTCATATCCAGTTATAATGATGGTGTTTCATATTACCTACATGTTGGGTCCTACATGCTTTGCTGAAGTCATTTGGGGAGCATGTCTTTCAGGCTGAGCAGACGGACAGGGAAAACTTAGCTGATTCTGGTTTGTCTCAAACTGGTTGGAAACCCTGTGGTCCTCACAGCTGGTCCCAAGGTGGGCCAAAGCCAAACATCCACAAGCAGTCTACACCAGGCCATGTCAAGCCGCACCGCTTCTTCTTTCACCTTCTCACCATGCATGTGCATCATCGCACAAACACACCACCTGGGACTGGCAATTGCCTCCCTCTTCCTGCCCAGCTGCCATCCCATTGGATGCCCTGTGTGACTGGCCACACAGTCACATAAGTGGTTCACTGCTCATACAGTAATCGTGCACCCAGTGACACATTGGCATGGAGGCTCCCATACATGCCCACTTCCCCCCCTCTTTCCCCCATACCCCCATTGGACTGTCTGGTTTGGGTATGTTTTAATTACATCCATTGCATTATTGGTGACCTGCCATGTTTGACGTACTTTCACATCATGGGGTGTGTGACAGCTCAATGGTATGATGGGTCAATGATGCAGCTAGCTATTCGTGTGTGTATGCTCAAACGGAAAAACTGTATAGCAAATGATGGCGCTGGTGGCTGCGTCACACTGGTTCTGGGGTGCATGCTTCAGACCACTTCCATATGCCACCTCAGCCTTCCTGTATTCCTTCACTCACACCGTACTGTTTATATAATAGTGCAGTGATACGCATTTTCCATGTTTAAGTGGAGTTCAGAGGCTTCTTTTTGCTCCAGTTTTTAGCCCTGGAGCATGGCTTTGTATTGGTTCCTCCTGGTTTGACCCTATGCATTGTATAAACAGCTAGTTTCATCAGTTTGAAGCTGCTTTATTTTGTCTGTGCAGACTACCCCTCAGCCTTTAAAAGTTGTTTGTAATTGTACAATTTCTTTGTTACAGTGGGAGAAACTGGATCTGCTGAAATTCTTCATTTTAAACCCATAGTAAAAACACAGTGTACCAATTTTATAGCTTTTTATTTATTTGCTGGGCATCACTTGTGTACTTAGGTTTACCTGATTTGCACAATGAACTGTGACTTTCTGAACACTGTATTAATGCAGTACAGTTCTTTTGGATTGGATCCATAGTTCCTCATGAACAGAACTTTGTTTCTGGGATGGTCCTGCTGGAGGAGTGGGGTGGTTCCCCCCCCCCTTCCCCTTCCTCCTGCAGGATCCTGAAAACCCATTCCA